AGGAAAGCATTTTTCACATCAAATTGATTTATATCCCAATTGTAATGGGCAGCAAGGGACAACAAGATTCTCACTGTATTCATTTTTGCAACTGGAGCAAAGGTTTCTTCATAATCAATGCCATAGGTTTGAGTGTAACCTTTGGCGACTAATCGAGCCTTGTATCTCTCAAGAGTGCCATCAGAATTATATTTTAGGGTATAAACCCATCTGCACCCTACTGCTTTCTTTCCGTTGGGTCTATCAATAACCTCCCATGTTTTATTTTTCTCCAACGCATTCATCTCCTCTTGCATGGCTTGAGCCCAATTCCCATCTCTCAAAGCTTCATGTACTGATTTTGGGATTGAAGTAGAATCTAGTGCTGAAACAAAGCTTTTGTGCTGCACAGAAAGATTAGCAGAGGAAACAAAATGGGAGATAGGGTATTGAGTATAAGAGGGACAGGAAGAACAAGATTTCTTGGAACAAGATCTTGGAACAGGAACAAGAGGAAGAGACACTGACACAGGTGAAGGAGTAGACACTGAAGTTTCAAAGAAGGAAGGTGATGAGTCTTCTGGTGAATCATTCTCCCCCTGAAGATGAGGACCTTGGAAAAAGGACTCAGATTCCTGAAATGTAACATCCATAGAAACAAAAAATTTCCGACTTCCAGGGTGATAACACTTGTAGCCCTTCTTATCAGGAGCATATCCAAGGAAGACACATTTAAGAGCCCTATGATCCAACTTACTGCGATGCTGTTTATGAATATGAACAAAGACAACACACCCAAACACTCGAGGAGGAAGACTTTGCAAAGTTGGAAGAGAAGAAAAAAAGAAGTCATGGAGTGAATAGGACTTACATGATCGAGAACCCGAGTGGGTAGACGATTGATCAAGAATGCTGCAGTAAGAATGGCATCTCCCCAATAGCATTTGGGTACATGTGTTTGAAACAATAAGGCACGAGCAACTTCAAGAAGGTGACGATTTTTCCTTTCAGCAACCCCATTTTGTTGAGGGGTTTCTACACATGTAAGTTCATGAATCATACCTTGATTTTGTATAAATTGGGAAAAAGAGTGATTGACATATTCAGTACCATTATCTGTCCTTAGTCTTTTGATTTTTTTACAAAATTGAGTCTCAATCATTTTATAAAATTGAAAGAACAGTTTTGGTACCTCAGACTTTTCATGCATTAAGTAAACCCAAGTTACACGAGTGCAATCATCAATAAAAGAAACAAACCATTTATTTCCAGAAGAATGAGGGACCTTAGAAGGACCCCAAACATCAGAATGAATAAGATCAAAAGGTTCAACACTTTTAGTAATACTAGAAGGGAAAGACACACGATGATGCTTAGCAAACTCACAAACATCACAATGATAAGACTCAACAGACTTAGACAAAAACAAAGACGGAAATAAAGACTTGAGTAAACTAAATGGAGGATGTCCCAAGCGCTTATGATGAAGCCAAATCAGAGAATCAGCAGTTGACTGGCCATGTGACAGTAAGATGTGATCCTTAACATGAGTTGCAGGAGATTGTGACACCAGATAATACAGCCCACCTTGCTCTTTAGCACCCCCAATCGTCTTCCCTGTGGCGAGATCCTGAAAAACACAGTGAGTAGGAAAGAAGGTTACAGTGCAATTTAAATCTTTTGTAATTTTATGAATAGAGAGAAGATTAGTAGAAAGTTTAGGGACATGAAGAGCATCTTTGAGATGTAAGGAAGGCTGTAATTTTATGTTACCAGAACCCGCAACTGATGTATGGGAGCCATCAGCTACGGCTATCGTATGAGTGCCAATGGTAGGGTTATAAGAAACAAAGGGGTCAGCACAACAAGCCATATGATCAGTAGCACCAGAATCAACAACCCAAGAATGTTTAAAATCAATACATGAAGTAAGAAAAGAAGAAATTTTGGAGCTCATACCAGTCATAGCCAAATCACTAGTACCAGATGGCTTACTCAGAGAATCAAGTATGGTTCGAAGTCGTTCCAACTCATCTGGACGAAATGCAGGTCGGGTCTCATTAGGTGTAGGAGCTATATCAGAAGAAGTAAAATGCGCTTGACCACGCATCCTTGCCATCTTTTCTAAGACAGTTTGTTTTCCATGGAGGCGATAGCATAGATCCTTGATATGACCTGTTCTTTTACAATAAGAACACCAACGATCATCTTTCTTAGGTCTAGAAGATGCTCCATCAGAATATTTTGGAAAGGAACTCCTGTAAGTAGAACCATCTTTTTTTGTTGAAATCATAGCAGACCCATCAGTGGGTTTAGAAGCAGCACCATCTTTTGATGATAACATGACAGATTTATCAGGGTTCATCATAACACCCCGACGATTCTCCTCTCCCCGAACAGTATTGAAAACAGCAAAAAGGGATGGAAAAGTTTCTTTGCCAAGTATCTGAACCCGAATAGGATCATACTCGGAATTCAAACCAGCAAGAAAATCAAAAATACGCTCATTTTCTACCTCCTTGGCTAAAGCAGTAGCATCTGCAGTACATTTCATCTTCAAACTCTGAAATTGATCAAGTTCAGTCCATAACTCCTTCAAGGTGCCATAGTACTCAGTCACGGATAAAGAATCTTGTTTTGTAGTGAATATTTTATTGCGCAATTCATAGCGCGCAGCCATATCCTGTTTCAAGGAATAAGTGGAGCGGACAGTTTCCCAAATCTCCATAGCAGAAGACAAGAACATACAATGACGACCCACTTCAGGAGTCATCGAATTCCACAACCAAGTCATGATAAGAGAATCCTCATTATCCCAAACAGCAAAATCGGGATCCGTGGCAGCAGGAGCAGGGCCATCAAGATGAGCAATCTTATTGCGACTCTTGATGGTAGTACGAATGAACTGAGACCATGACAAATAATTTGATCCGTCAAATCGATAACTCTGATATAGATTTGGAAGATCATTGTGACCAAGAGGGGTCACCACAGATGAGGTAGAATTTTTTTCAGATAAGTTTAGAGTTGAATCACCGTCGGAAGCGGCCATACTGCAAAAACAACTCAAGGAATAGTACTAAGAAGCCAAAAAATCACGAAAAATTACCAAACGAGGTCCGATCAAAGAGGTGAGCACAGATCCAGAACGAGCTTGGAGAGTCGGTCAAGACTGCACCGGTCCGCAGCCAATAGCAACCGTCACGCGCTGTCACGCGCCGGTGAAGCTGGCGGCGCGTGAGATTCACGCGCAGGGAAAGAAGCGGAGCGTGGAGGCGCGTCTGACGTCTGATCGGGCTGGGCTTTTCAGGCGAAGGTCGTCCAAGGGTTGCGAACCTATCTGGGGCTGATCGGAGTTGAATGGCCGCCAAAAAGAAGGTCAATCGCGATGAACAGTGTTCTTGGTTAGTGAAAAACGCTTCTGTTTGGAGGTGACGTGGAACGGTTCAGTTTGGGGTCTTGTTATTGAGGAAGATGAGAGAAAAACAAAGAGAAGCAATGATCTCTCGGTCCAAGAGGTCCCTGGAAAATTTTTCCGGTGGCGGCTGATGGCAGCGAGAGATGGAAAACAAAAAAAAAAGGGTTTCGTAGGCGCGGAAGCAGAGCCCTCAAGATCGAGAGCTCTGATACCAACTTGAAAAAGGGTATTCTGATATATTTTAGAATTGTAAATAATGTGTACAAGGGATTCTCTATTTATAGAGAATATGTGACCTACTTTTAACCTAAAGGCCTTGGCCCAATACAACAAAGGGCTTGGCCCAATACAACAATAAACTAAATAATAACTAAATCAATATTATTTACAACAAAATTGAATATGCATTACAGATTTATTTTCTTCAGAATAGTTGGTTTATTATTTTAGAAAAAAAAAAAATTATTAGTCAGGGGTTCTGTTTTTGATTTTTCTCTCTCTTCACTTTGTGCTTCCTAGTTCCTTCTCCCTCAAAGAAATTTAATTGCATGATCAGAATAATATTTTCTGACAGTCATTGTAGACATAAATGAACTGTTTATTTTATTTCTGTACATATTGTAAAGAGAGTATGGCCAGATTTTGCATAGGAACCTTTGTGCTATATGCTATGACAGTTTATCATAAGAAAAACAAGTATCACTAACTTGCCAAAAATAGACTTGGGGATATTCTTCTAATTTCATCTTTTGTGAAATGTCAACTATATTTCTTTTTGCACTGTATACTTGTATATATACTTTAGCTCTAGCAAGTCTTGGCTAGCAATGTTCTACTGTTGTCCAGTATTATAGTCATGCTATGCTATGCTATTTGATATAATTGTTTGTAATAATACTATTCTTTTCCCTTTTGACAGGTGCTTGCCTTTAGGGACATAACTCCTCAAGCTCCTACACACATTCTTATCATCCCTAAAGTCAAAGACGGGTTAACTGGTCTATCCAAGGTATTTATTAGTTGCTTTTTTTTGGGTAGATACCAACTGGTGTCCAAAGCTCTAATAGGCCTGACTAATCTGGTTTTGGGTTTGAACCTCTCCACCCTTCTTTGGAGTTGCGATGACATTTTATGCTGTCTCAAATTTTGGTTAATGACTGCATATGCTCTGTTGTTCCCTCCATCCTTGGGCTCCTCCTTTTCAAGCCTGTCTCATAGCTGCTTCATATAGATACCCTAGCTATTATGTTTCATGGTAGCAATCCCTTCATCTTGTTATCAAGATGCATTTCACCCTTAAAACACTATTGGAAATTTATTAATCAGTATTTCGCTCCTGTTTCCATTGTAGGCATTTAATGTTAATTACTTTTCTTGTATAATGTCATGTTACTGATGTCCATATTATAACCTGGTATTGTCTCCTTTTCTAAGTGATGGTCTATGGTAGCAAATGCTGGGCAATGAAGTGTGCCTAAACTGGTTTGGTCATGTGGGAGATGATGAATAGAGGCGATGATGCAAAAATTGGATCTAATGAAAGATATTTTGATTAACAGGGGTAGAGGAAAACCTAAGGAAACATTACACAAAAAGAAACCATTAAAAAAGACCTTGTTCTAAATTGAAAACTTGGTTTTTGACAGAGCCCAATGACGTAGATTGATTTATGTAGGTGACTCCATCTAGTGAAATTAGGCTTGGTTGTTGATGTTTTCATGTCAAGAATGTAGTATGGTCTAATCAACTGTGTCTGATTTATTATCATACTAAGCTACTATTAGTCCTTATTGACAAATTTGGTTAAGCATGTGATTCCATTCTGTGTTCCGGGTTGAAAGAAATCAGAGTAAAGTGAGTTAGTCCTTATTTACAAATTTGAATTAAGCATGTGATTCTATTCGTCTATTCGATTAATTTAATCACGAGTCACACACTCGAGCATAACTTGTCAGTTGTCATGCAAAATTCATTGTTAGTTCCTATGTATTTTAAATCATTTTACCATTTTATAGTATCTCCATTTCCAGCCTAGTTGGAATATTAGTTGCACTGTTTGTTCATTCCTTTTTATGGGTTTTTGTATATATTTTAAAGGCTTTAATGTTTTTACAGTGAATGTAGATAAGTTAAAACGACGTCGTATTGGGTTGAAAGATTAAAAAATTATAATGAGAAAGACTATTATAGTCCTGAAATAAATTATAATTACAAAAATACTATGATTTTTATCCCAAAACAACGTCGTTTTGGACTTAATGTAGATAACTTATTTACATTGACCGCAGAAAAAACGAACCCTATTTTAAATATATTTCTTCTATTTAGTATGTGATTCAAAAAGACCAAGAGAAAAGAACTTAATATTGCACATCCATGATGACAACATTCATTAATAATGCTAGTAGCACTAAAGAGAGATTTTATTTTGTTTTCAATGACAAATCAAACTGAGTGACAGAAACTTTTGACACCTAAGATCACCACCTACATGGCTACATCTGTTCTGCAATTTGTTTCAATTATGTTCCTTCTTATATTAAGAGGGTGAGCCTAGAGTAATGGCAAAGCTGTTTCTCGGTGATTGAGAGGTTACGGGTTTGAATCCAAGGTACAATCTCTTTGCAAAATTATAAGGGTAAAACTGCATACAGAGATTTCTTTTCCCCCTACCCTCACAAACAGGGTTTCATGAGGGGCGATTTGGTTTAGTTTGATTTCGTATGTTCCTTCTTATATTAAGTCATTATTCTCCAGGCTGAGGAGAGGCACTTTGAGATTCTTGGGCGTCTTCTTTACACTGCTAAGCTGATTGCAAAGCAAGAAGGTCTTGATGATGGCTTCAGGATTGTAATTAATGATGGGCCAAAGGGATGTAAGTGTTCTTCTGCACGCCAACACTTGGAACATTGATAAATCATTTTTTATTTGAGTCATTATTGATTGTTCTATATCATATTGAGTTATGGTTTATTTTTGGACAGGCCAATCAGTTTACCACATTCACGTGCACCTCCTTGGGGGAAGACAGATGAACTGGCCACCAGGCTAAAATGTTGGAAAGGATTCACAGAGATTCCTGGGGCAGTAATACTCTCTGGTTGTGTTATCTTTCAATAATGGTTTAAGACAACTAATAAGTTGCTACACTTTACTTGAAGGGACTATGATTAAGTTAGATAATCAGTATTGAATATGTTTGATATGTTCTGTTGAATTTAGACTAAAACTAAATTCCAAAGTCCTTTTCTAGATTCTGATTGTTGATGGCATTCCATTATACTTTAGTGTAATGCTGCACTAATATTAGGGGCATCAATGCTTGTGGTGGCTATATGATGTGGTTTGGATGACAATTCCACGCCTCACATTAGGAATGGATCCTTTCAAGTGACAAGAGGTCATATGAGACGATTTCAGTTGTGCATAGAAAAATCATTATCATTTTCTCATTCGTTTTCCTAACACACTCTTCAATCCTAATACGCTATTCAAAACCGTTGTTTTGTCTTTGTATGGTTGAAATTGTCTTGCATGATCTCATGTTACTTGAGGGGATCCATTCCTCTTCACACCACTCTTCTAAATAAACATCATGCTTAGTTAGTTATTAATAAAGTCAATCTTTATTTACACTAAGGATTATTATTTTGCAAACTATAGGTTTAACACTTATTTTCATCATGTTTTATGATTTTTGAGTTAATTGATCAATTTTAAGATTGTAATTGATTATTATATAAATTTAGGGGTAGGATATTGTAACAACCAATTAGTGTTACTACCAATCAATTTCACCGTTAGATCGATTATGTTGATCCAACGGTTATATTTATTTTCATCTTTGTATGGTTATGAATCCCCGTATTTAATGTGAAAGCATTAAATATGGGAAATCATAACCATACAAAGGTGGAAATAAATATAAAATATAAAATATGGAAAAACATAACCATACAAAGATGGAAATAAATATAACCGTTGGATTAACATAATTGATCTAACGGTGAAATTGATTGGTAGTAACATTGATAGTAACATTAATTAGTTGTTACAATATACTTCTCCATAACTTTATCTAAAAATTTCATATATAAAGGCCTGAGGTAGGTAAGACGTGGGTTGAATTTTTTTTCGCTGGACGGGCTTTTAGTTTTTGGAAAAAGTGTTTTATCATTTTAAATGATACAACTTATATCCTTTCACTCTCACAAAGAGATGAGATCTACACCTTTATTTTTTTGTCAATTCTTTCTCCTTTTTTATCTATCTCTCTTTTAAAATGACACAATTTTACATCCTTTAAAATGACACACATTTTTCCCTTAGTTTTTACCCCAAAAATCCACCAACTAATGGTCCTCTGTAAACTTTTGTTCGACTTCAAATAACAAGAGTTGATTCATAACTATAAGCTTTTTTGTTCCTAGTCGACTGGAACTAACTTAAAGCATTTTTAAAGTGAGAGCAGTGTTTTTGTATTTATTTTGTTTTAAAACTTGAAAGTTGTATTTCTAGAGAAATTTAATCACGTTTGTTAAAGAAAAAGTCTAACCTTCAATTAGTAGTACATAAGGAAAATAATGATTAAAAATATGTAAAATAAGAAGGGTTCATTTAATCTTATGTTGCATGAGAGATCTTCTCTAATGTTGTAGACACATATGTGATGGGGCTCACTATTTAAAGAAAAAAAAAAGTAAAAGTAAAAGAAGTGTCACAGTTTTCGATGAGTGTGTAGAAGATAAACTACTCTTATGTTGTATAAGAATAGTTTTTCCCAAATAAGAAACATTTTTCTTATTAGTATTATTGTTAGTATAGTATTTTCTCTGGCAAGTGGCAACAAGTAGATATAAATAACCGGCAATGTTGGTGATATCACTATCATATTAATCAATGGAGGTTTTTGAATGGAAGTTACAAGTTAGAATTTGGATATCAAAGAGTTAATAGTTAAAATATGGAAATACCCTAGAACCAGGGAAAAATTAACTCAAGATTCTTTTTCTCTCATTAATTATCAAAGGATGAGGTTCCCAACAACCCCAACCACTTTGTGTAGCACCATGGCCAAATTTTCTCCTGTCATAATGAACACCAGAAACAAAACCATGGGCTAAGTTGTTGCCTTTCCTACATTTTCATCTATACCTTGCTGGCAATCTGTTACATTAAATTGAAGGTTTGGTTTCATTCTCCATGCCATGGCTTCTCTTGTACTTCTTCTATCTTATCTAGTACGTCCCAAAAATAAAAACCAAGCTTTGATTGTTACTACCACCACCTTTGACACTATGGAAGATGCTTCAAGTTTGCATGCAAAATGGTCATATCGAAGAGAGTGCATTAACTATGACAATGTGTTGGAGGTGATGGGGGAGAAGATTCTACAAGAGCCAAGAGTTTGTATCTATTTGGTTTAGCCACATAGATTTATGTCCACTAGAAGTGTGAGTTATTGTTTCATGAATAATCTTCACATTGTATATAACTTGATTTATTATCCTATAAATTTGAACCATTCCATATCCATTGTTCAATTCATGTCATTTATTCACATATCCACTCTCTTTATTCTATCCCTTTCCAGATCCATTGTAAACTGTGTACCATTTTATCAACCATTGTTTATTGTATGGTATGGTATGGTATATTACTTTCTCATATTAAAGAATAAATTAAATAATAGTTAATGTTGCAATTGAATTTTCTTCGGTAATGTAATAGTCACCCATTAATATATTGTCTATTGAGTAATGCCCTGAATGCTTTTAATTACATATTATTCATCAAATGATTACTTAAAACATCAAATCATTACTTAAAAAAAATAAATTCTGCCTTGTTTTCCTCTTTCTTATATATAGAAGCATAACTGCTATCCAATTCCTTCAACCATAAGCTAAATTAAACCCCAAATATATATCCTAATGTATTTTATAACCAGATGACATGATCCACTGGCAATTCTCATCACAGAGATATGTTAGCATGAAATACAGTGAGTACTCTGCAGAGTATTCTTGAGGCTAGGAATCCTAGTTGTTCTTCCATTGCTGCATCCAATGCAAATCTCATGCCAACTTTCCACAATCATCTCCCTCACACATGCCACATGCAGATTGTACTTCTTGCAAGAAGATCTATAACTCTAGCTACGACCCTTTGCCCACAATAGTAACATGGTGAACTCACTTTCCTATAAAGATATAACTTGACTTGTACTTCACCATCATCAAGCACCATTGGAAGCTTGGCACAACAAGGGTGAAGATCAAGACCACATGACACGCAAGAAGGGTCGTAGCTGGATTATAGATCTTTTTGCAAAGAAGTACAATGTGCTTGTGGCATGTGTGATGGAGATGATTGTGGAAAGTTGGCATGAGATTTACATTGGATGCAGCAATGGAAGAACAACTAGGATTCCTAGCCTCAAGAATACTCTGCAGAGTACTCATAATAGTAGAAGCAAAGGGAAGAAGGTGAGGAAATGTTGTGAGAAGGCTGGATTGGCTTTGCAGATTGTGGTATCAGCCATGTTGGGAGATCCAACAACTTTGATTGTTGGGGTCATGGGATCATTGATGTCATGAGCTTGATTAACAATCTCTTACAGTGGCACAGCTAGGAAATAATTTTAGCCCGTGCCAAAAAAACTCAGCCAAGTAGAACCCAGCCAGTGCCAAAACTATATCACAATATTTAAAGAAAATTTGTACCATTTTTGAAAACTAGTCAGTGTCAAGGCCCTAGTTGGCCTCAACATGGCTTCGTCGGTGCTCTCTCAGTTATCAATGGTTAGCAATTAAAATGATCATTTTCTTATTTATTTTAGGTATAAATCATCCCTTATCCTATCGCCAACATGTGTCAACTAATACGAATTCGAGTTGGGTAAGACCTCAAGGACGGGAATGCTCTCCTTACCAAGTTTTAATGCAGCTGCATATCCAAGACTCTAAGGCTAGACAATTGGTTAAGTTGAAACAACTACTTCTAATTGATTCACATGCTTGGTGGTTTCTATTTTAGGAACTTTGTCATTAAAATTATTATTGCTTTGTTAATGAATGACATTAAGGGATTAGGTTAAAATGAGACATTAGGGGATGGTGATTGTATTAATTCAAAGAGTTGTGTTTTGTATCAGGTGTGTTTGTAGAAGATGTAAATGGGTAAATTGGGTATATATGTAGTGGAAGGAAACTTCATTGTGACTGTGTTGTTCCTAATCCTAAATATGGTTTAAAACCATCTAATTAAGATAAAACCAAAACTTAATTAGATGAGATGTTCTTATGGATTAGAAGTAGCTATAAATGGAGGTAAAAATGATCTTGCTATATGTAAAAATAAAGCCAGATTCTTTTTTCTCATTAATTATCAAAGGATAAGGTTGCCAACAACCCCAACCACTTTGTGTAGCACTTTGGCCAAAATTTCTCCCGTAATAATGAAAACCAGAAACAAAAACCATTACATTTTCATCTGTACCTTGCTGGCAAACAATTTCTGTTAGATTAAATTAAAGGTTGGGTTTCCTTCTCCATGCCATGGCTTCTCTTGTACTTCTTCTATCTTTTCTAGTACGTCCCAAAAATAAAAACCAAGCTTTCATTGTTACTACCACCACTTTTGACTCTATGGAAATGATTCAAGTTTGCATGCAAGATGGGCACATCAAAGAGAGTGCATTAACTATGACAATTTGTTGGAGGTGATGGGGGAGAAGCTAGATTCTACAAGAGCCAAAAGTTTGTATCTATTTGGTTTTAGCCACAAAAATGTATGACCACTAGAAGTGTGAGATATTGTTTCATGAATAATCTTCACATTTTAACTTGATTTATTATCCTATTATATATAAGTTTGAACAATTCCAGATCCATTGTTCAATTCATGTCATTTATTTACATGTCCACTCTCTTCTATTCTATTCCTTTCCTCTCGCCCGTTTTCATTATTTATTTATGTTATGAACCATTGTTTTTTTGACATTAGTCAATTAATCATTATATATTTTACATGGAAAAGAGACTAAAAACAAAGATTGGGTAATAATATAACATAATCACAATTTCAATAATAAAATTTACATTTCATAATGCAATGACCATTTAATAGATCAAGTTATCTAACAATTTATGAAAGCACCCCAATAAAAACTATGAAACCAGGCCAAAGATTAAAAGAAAAAGCTTCACAAGGATAATCTAGCAAGAAGCATATCTAATATTTATTTGCAAAATTAGTTAGAACTAGAGTTACACTGATGAGTTAAGGTTGTGAGGGTTGTCTTGTCACTGCAACTCACAAAGTAGA